TTTTTTTTTTTTTTTTTTTTGCTGAGTTGTAAGCCACGTGGAATATGTGAATTAATTACAAAAAAATTGTGGAGGAGAGGGTTCGAACCCGCGTGGATAGGCCTTGCAAGTGGCTCATGAGCCACTTGACCTAACATAACTTATGTTAAATATTTGGCTTCACTTATATATCTATCAAAAAAGTTTTAGGGTTGGGTTCCAGTGATAAAGGTTCTCAATGAAAAAAATAAGAATACATAGTAGCCATTAGATCAAATGATCTAATGGCAAAAAAAATTCAACATTTTTTTATTCATTAAGGGTATTTTAGACATTTTAACATCAAACATTAATTTATACCAACTAACACACATCCACCCAATTAGTTTGTGCCACGTGGCAAACAACACATCACATATCTACCCTCTCTCTCTCACACACAGTGAAACACACACACATCAATATCGGCCAACACACACATTACACATAACAAACACACACAAAATACATACACACACACATAGCCAAAGACCACCACAGCCGTCTGATTTTCCGGCAACGTCGAGCCTGACCGACGGCTTAAGCGTCACAACACCTCCGCCAGGCCGCCGCGCCGCCGTACGCGATGGAGGTCCGATCCGCTACCGCCATCAACCTCAGCCGCGTATCTCAGACTTCCAGCACCGTCGCCGTACGTCGTCGGGAGATCTGCTTCAGCCGTCGCGGAGCTTGCAGTCACACGCACACTTTGCCGCCATTGGTCCATCGGTCGGAACTCCACTGCCGTCGTTCTCCATTCATATCAACCGGCAGCCGGTTTCACACACTGCTGGAGGTGGCGCCGGAGATCGGGTCGAGGCGGGAGAAGCTGCACGAGGAACGACGGAGGCTGCTAAACACATTGAGGTTAGATATGTCGGCCGGAGATGGCTGAATGGAGCCGGTATATTGTTGGGGAAGATGACCACCGGATTGGGGAAACAATTTAGGGCCGTGAATGTTATTTGATTTTTAAGGCATGATTGCAATTTAGTGAACTTTGATTATATTTAAATTTGGTAAATATGCCAAATTTGTAATTTATACAGATTTTAAAAAATAGATGTTAATGATAAATAATTTTTGTGTATATATTTATGTTAAATATATATATATATATATATATATATGTGTGTTGACATCGTTTTCAGTAAACCAAGTTAAGCGACGCTGATCAGATGATTATGTTCATTAGGAGGGTGATTAAATTCGTACAAGTGGATGATGTCTTCACGGGTCTCCAGATAATCACATATCGGGTAAAAATTCATCGAGAACCGACATCTTCCTCAATTGACCGATATCTCATGTCGATTATGACATGTCGGTTACTACATGTCGGATATGACATAGCGGTTATAACTACACAAGCCGATATCTATGACTTGCCAACCCAACATCATAAGGCGGTGTCAACTCAGCACAACTCATCATTACGCCTGGCCAAGTGGCATGCTACCAGGATGAATGGAAATTAGCCGCAGTTGACTATTCCCATGTAATGATTACATTTCAGATAAATGTTGTAAATAAATATAAAAGGAGAAAGGAGATTCTCCAGCCAGACACGAGATATAGACAATAATATTCAGAAAATTCTATCTCATTCAGCTTTTCATACGATCTTTGTTAATCTATCTTGAACACACGATAAATCCTTGATTATCCTATAGTTGTTAATTTCCATTTAACAACAGTTTTGCGCTAGGGGAAGGGGCTCATCACGTTTTGAGGTTAACTTTCGCTGTTATAGCCATTTTTGCGCTCGAAGTCACCATGTCGCAATCTGGTTGAGACCATACAGCCTGATATAGCCCTATTGTCATAGCCCGATTCAGGCGTTAGTTACTCGACTCACGCTGCCAAGAATATCATTAAAAACGATACCTACAAAGTCGACATGGTCTATCAATCATATAAGGATCACCACTGGCCTGAGGACGATCAAAAGACGACTTCAGGAAGTCGTCTCTGTTTAAGTCGACTTATGCGAATGAACATTCTGAGAACCTCAGATATAATCACAGGACCATAAGTCGACTCGACAATGCTTCGAATCGACTTAGAGTACTTCTGGCGGCTCACATTTACCTCAATGACGAAGCAAGGTTTTTAGAGCTAGAGAATCTATACGAGATAAGAAGGAATCTAGGTGCTGACTCAGAGAGTGGGCAGAATGTGAAGTGACCAGGGCATTTTGGACACTTCAGGTAAGTCGGCCAGGGCATTTCAGGTATTTCTAGTGAGTATTTCTACTCCTATATAAAGGAGTAGAGGTGACTCCAAACCCTAACCATTATTCTCCTCATTCAATATTCAGCTGCTGCTCCCACTGAGCAGAGCTCCTTCTCTCTTCATTCACTGACTTGAGCGTCGGAGGCTCTTCACCGGAAAACACTTCCGGTGTTAAGTTCTTGCAGGTGTTCACTGCGGTCCCCGGGCGACTTGGAGACGATTCGAACAGACCGGAGCTCATTTCCACCGGTTCACTCCAGATCTAGGAGGAGACCCATCAAATTGGCGCCGTCTATGGGGAGTTCTTAAAGGAAGTAAGAGCTTTACACCTAGTTCCGATCTGTTTGACATGGCGGAGAAGGAAGGATTATCGAGAAATCTAAACGAGGACTTCAGGACAGCGTGGACGGACAAGCGGCCGCCGTCAATTCTTGGCCCTAGACCACCGCTTCAGGTTCTCGGTTTTCCACCCTTTGGGGGACACGCGCCGTCGGGGGTGTGTATTGAGGAAGAAACACCCATCACACCTCCCGGGGTAAAAATTCCGGGGATAACACAAGGAGAACCTAGTCAAAGGAAGGGCCCGAACACGGGAGTTGACGGTCGCGAGTCCACAGAAACGACTTTGAGCCTGGGAAAGCAATCCAGAGTGCTGGAACAAGCGACGATGCCACCACCCCAGTCCGAAGAGCAGATGATGACTGTGACAAGGAATGAGATGCAAGGAATGATAGCGGAGGCGGTGGCAGCCCGACTCGAGCAGGTACAAGTCGAGCAGCCCAGGCTCGAGCAGCCCAGGGTCGAGCAGCCCAGGGTCGAGCAGTGCAGAATTGAGCCACCACCCCATGATCACGAGCAACAAGTCCAGTCCAATGATAGGCAAAATAGAAGGGTGGAGGAAGAGGCGTCCTCCATTAGGACCGCTAATCCGCAGGCGAGAGATGAAACACTGGAGCAGTTGCTAGCCCAGGTTCGTGATTTACAAGCCCGAGTCGAGGGGAGGAAAGTCGGAGGCTCGAGGGGACATCCGTTATCACAGCACATCCTGGATGCCGACCTGCCCCAAGGTTTTCGTGATCTAAACATAAGTTATGACGGGTCGACCGATCCATCTCGTCACATGAGGAGCTTCGAGAATATGGCGGTCTTGCATCGCTATAATGACCCTGTGCAATGTCGAGCTTTCCTAACCACCTTGCGGGGATCTGCACAGGATTGGTTCCACCAACTACCAGCGGGAGCCATCAAGGATTTTGAAGGATTTAGTGCGAGTTTTCTTAATCAATTCGCAAGTGTGAGACCACAGAAGAAGTCATATTTGAGCTTAATGGGTATCCAGCAAAAGGAAGGTGAGTCGCTACGAGATTATGTGTCAAGGTATATGCGAGCATGTGTCGAGGTGCCCAGGGCATTGGAGGAGATAAAGGCAGGAGGATTGACACGAGGGTTGCTACCGGGCTTGTGCAGGAATTCTCTGGCAAAACGCCCGGGTAGAACGTTCGACGAAGTGCTGGGGAGATGCGCGAAGTATATGAATGTCGAGGAGGTGGAGATCGATTTCTCGCGAACAGCTAAAGAAAGCAGAGCTGACCCTCGGGAAGAAAGAAGTGAGAAGAGAATTTCCTCGGCTGGGGAGAGAAAGGGGTCCCCGCGAGCAGAAAGAGAGGGGCGACCTAGGAGTTGGAGGCCGACTCAATACACCCCTTTGTCGGCCCCTCAAGCGCGAATTCTGGAAGTAATGGAGAAAGAAATTCATGACAATGTTGTCAGATGGCCCAAAACGAGAAAAGATGGACCAACGAGACTGAAGAGTAACCTATACTGTCGATTCCACAAAGACTATGGTCACAATACTGACGACTGCAGGCACCTTAAAGATGAAATCGAAGACTAATTAAGGCAGGACACTTGAAGGAATTCATATATAAGGACCGAGAAAAGTCGAACAGAAGAAGGGAAAGGAGCAGGAGCCCTCGCAAGAGGGCGAGAACACCAGAGAAAGAGGAGCTCCCACAGAAAAGGGGAACCATTCATATGATATTTGGAGGACCAACTGATGGGGATTCGAATCGAGCAAGGAAGACGTATGCCCGAGGGCGTCATGGGAAAGTCGAGATACAACAAGTCGATGAGAACGGACCGGTAATATACTTCGGCCCAGCAGATGCGGGAGAAGTTGAGAGGCCTCAAAACGACGCATTGATGATAACGGCCCAAATATCGGGATATGAAGTGCAGAGAGTGTTCGTCGACACTGGGAGTTCCGTAAATGTGATTTTTTACGATTGTCTCAAAAGGATGGAGCTCGACATACAGCTCACACCCCTTCATACTTCACTATTCGGTTTCAACGGGTCGGAGGTCGCCCCCTAGGCGAAACCATGCTCGATGTCGTTCTAGGAGAAGGTGATTTGCGGAAGGTGAAAATGGTGAGATTCGTGGTGGTTGATGTCGAGTCAGCTTACAACGTGATCCTGGGGAGGCCAACACTTAACGCATTCCAGGCGGTAGTGTCTACTTACCATATGAAGCTAAAGTTCCCAGTCGGAGACCAAGTCGGGGAAGCTCGAGGCGATCAAAAGCTGTCAAGGAGTTGTTATCAAATCGCTGTAAAAACCAACCAACGGGCCGAGGTTAAGGAGGGAAAGAAGCCAATGATGAGCGAGAAAAGGCCAAGGAATTGTGATCTCGAACCACACGGGGAGCTAATGGAAATACAAATCGGAGAAACGAAGGAACAGACCACTAAGATCGGGAAAGACTTGAAAGTCGAGCTACGAAACCAGCTGATCGCACTACTAAAGGAGTTCAGGGATGTTTTCGCCTTCACCCCTGAGGAATTGACAGGGATCGACCCTGCTATTATGGAGCACAAACTCAACGTCGACCCCCTCAAAAAGCCAGTAAAACAGCGACTTAGACGTCATGGTGAGAAAATCGACAAAGCAATTGAAGTCGAGGTTGATAAGTTATTGCGGGCGGGGTATGTCAAAGAAATCCAATTTCCCGAGTGGATATCCAACACCGTGATGGTGAGAAAGGCGCTAAACAAATGGCGCATGTGCATCGATTTCCGTGACTTAAACTTGGCCTGCCCAAAAGATCATTATCCCCTTCCACGAATCGATCAACTCGTCGACTCTACGGCCGGTTGCGAATTATTAAGTATGATGGATGCGTCTCAGGGATACCACCAGATCCCATTATGCCCAGAAGATCAAAGTAAGGTGAGCTTCGTGACGAGTAAAGGGACGTACTGCTACGTCGTCATGCCTTTTGGACTTAAGAATGCTGGGGCAACCTACCAACGGCTGATGGATCGAATGTTCAAAGCTCAGATCGGGCAAAATATCGAGGTATATGTGGACGATATCTTGGTAAAGAGTAGAGCCTCAGCCTCACACCCAGATGACTTAAGAGAAACATTTCAAACTCTTAGGGCGTTCGGGATAAAGCTGAACCCAAACAAGTGTGCCTTTGGAGTAAAGGCAGGACGATTCCTGGGATATATCGTCACAGAGCGTGGAATCGAGGTAAACCGGGAGAAAGTAAGAGCCATACTCGACATGGCCCCACCAAGAAGCATAAGAGATGTACAAGTTCTGACGGGACGAATCGCAGGGCCGAGCAGGTTTATTGCTCGAGCCGCAGAAAAAAGCTTCCCGTTCTTCAAAATACTAAAGAAGAAGTCAACCTTCTCATGGAGCGACGAAGCACAAGTGGCCTTTGAAAAATTAAATGAATTCTTGGGCGAGCTACCCTTGTTGACAAAACCAGAGCCCGACGATGAGTTGGCGCTTTATATATCTGTGGGTGCAGTATCACTAAGTTCAGTGTTATTGCGAGAAGAAGGAGGTGTCCAGCAGCCAATTTACTACACCAGTCGAGTTCTTCAGGGTGCAGAGGCGAGATATTCTGAAATCGAGAAGGCCGCCCTAACACTGGTGATAACGACTAGAAAACTAAGACCATATTTTCTGAATCATGTGATAGTGGTCAGGACGAACTTCCAGCTGGGTGAAACATTGGGTCAACCTACAGTATCAGGCCGACTCGTTAAGTGGGCAGTTGAGCTGAGCGAATATTCTATCAAGTACGAGCCGAGGCGAGCCATAAAAGCTCAAGCCCTGGCGGACTTCATCCAGGAAGGTACAAAAGGAGACGAGAAGAAGTGGGTTATTCACGTCGACGGGTCCTCGGCGGCCAAAGGATCAGGTCTTGGAATCGTTCTCGTCTCGCCCGAGGGCGAACAACTCGACTTTGCAATTAGAATGGGATTTAAGGCCTCGAATAACGAAGCAGAATATGAGGCGTTAATCAAAGGAATCCAACTCGCAATTGGCGGAGGAGCATCAGAGGTTGTGGCGCATTCCGACTCACAATTAGTTGTTGGACAAGTGTTGGGAAGTTGCGAGATCAAAGAAGAGCGAATGATGAAATATGTCGAAGAAATCCAAAGCCTTGTGCAGGGCCTGGAAAAGTTTGAACTAATGCAAATCCCTCGAGAGGAAAACAAACGAGCAGATTGGCTCGCGAGAATTGCGAGCTCGAATGAGGGGAAGATGGGAAGTTCTATCACCACCATGCACTTAGAGGGAAGCGTGTTGGGTGAAATGATGGATGTTGAGGAAAAGGACGACTGGAGAAAGTCGATTCATGAACTCCTGCAGGGTCGAGTACCCATGGCAGATAAGCAGGAGACAGAAAGGGTCGCTCGATATCTAAGCAAGTACTTCGAGGTCGACGGGATCATGTTCAAAAAATCTCTGGTTGGGCCTCACTTGCGATGCGTTTCCGAAGACGAAGGAAATCACGTCTTGAAAGAAATACATGAAGGATGTTGCGGAGCACATATAGGATCACGAGCCTTGGCAGGCAAAGCCCTGCGAGCAGGATACTATTGGCCAAAGATGCGAGCGATGGCAGAGCAGCTGGTTCAGAAATGTGAAAAATGTCAGCGACATCGGCAAATCACGCACATTCCCGCCGAATACATGACGACCATAAACACCCCGATCCCCTTTGCACAATGGGGAATCGACTTGGTAGGACCACTACCAATGGGAACAGGGCAGAGGAAGTTCCTAGTAGTCGTTGTCGACTATTTTACCAAGTGGGTCGAAGCGGAACCGTTGGCAAAGATTACGGAGGAAAAAATGATCCAATTCTTGTTGAACAATATCTGTTGTCGATTCGGGGTCCCGAAGGTGCTAATTTCTGACAATGGAACTCAGTTCCAGGGGAAACGAATTCAAGCATGGTGCCTCGACATGGGAATAAAATAAAGGTTCGCCTCGGTCGCGCATCCCCAGGCTAACGGGCAGGTCGAGGTGACTAATCGAACAATTCTCTAAGGGCTGAAGAAGAGATTGGAGAGAGCAACAGGTGCTTGGGTCGATGAGCTGACAACAGTCCTATGGGCTTACAGGACGACCCCAAGAAGCTCAACAGGACAGTCGCCATTTCACATGGTTTACGAAATGGATGCACTCCTGCCTATTGAAGTCGGCCTAAACTCACACAGATCGAAATTTTACGAGGAAAAGAAAAACGAGGAGATGGTCGAAAGAGGCCCTCGACATGATAGAAGAAGGACGAGAGGAGGCCTGGGTGCGATCTATGGAGTACAAGCAGAAGATGCGTGCAGCCTTCGACAGAAAAGTCCGCACCAGACGATTTTAAGTCGGAGATCTCGTCCTCAAACGAGCAGATGCTCTTAAGCATGTTGGGAAACTTGAAGCTAATTGGGAAGGACCTTACACCATCACCAAAGTGCTCGAGAGAGGTGCATATGAGCTCAAGGATGGCGAGGGACGACAGTTGCCGCGATCTTGGCACGTAATCCATCTCAAACGTTTTTATGCCTAGAATAGTATTTCGAATTCCTTTTGTACTGAGCAGTGCTTAATCAAATTCAGTAATGCAATGACTCCCAAGTTTATGTTTAAGATTGTGTTTCTTACATTTTCATGTCAATTTTGTTATAATTACCCGAAAAACTGAATTTTTCAAAACGACTATAAAGCCGATTGAAGCCTACGACTACGAAGTCGATCTAACACAACTACGAAGTTGTGTGCCTCGAGTGGAATCTCGGCAAAAGGCTATGAAGCCTACGACTACGAAGTCGATCTAACACAACCACGAAGTTGTGTGCCTCAAGTGGAATCTCAGCAAAAGGCTATGAAGCCTACGACTACAAAGTCGATCTAACACAACTACGAAGTTGTGTGCCTCGAGTGGAATCTCGGCAAAAGGCTATGAAGCCTACGACTACGAAGTCGATCTAACACAACTACGAAGTTGTATGCCTCGAGTGGAATCTCGGCAAAAGACTATGAAGCCTACGACTACGAAGTCGATCTAACACAGCTACGAAGTCGTGTGCCTCGAACGGAACCTAGGTTAAGAAACGAAACTCGTAATAGTGAAACCTATAGCTATGAAGCTGTTAACGACGTTGCTCGACTTCGACCAGCTCGCAAGCCGGGTTGGGAGAAGACGAGTTGAAAAAAATTTGTTTACCAGCTATGAAGCTGTTAAAGACGTTGCTCGACTTCGACCAGCTCGCAAGCCGTGTTGGAAGAAAATGAGTTGAAAAAACTTTGTTTACCAGCTATGAAGTTGTTAACGATGTTGCTCGACTTCGACCAGCTCGCAAGCTGGGTTGGGAGAAGACGAGTTGAAAAAACTTTGTTTACCAGCTATGAAGCTGTTAAAGACGTTGCTCGACTTCGACCAGCTCGCAAGCCGGGTTGGGAGAAGACGAGTTGAAAAACTATTGTTTACCAGCTATGAAGCTGCTAAAATCATTGCTCGTCTT